ACGACGTCGACGGCGCTGTGCTCAAGTCCGATGCGGTTGGCTGCAAAGCATGGTCATCCCGTCCATGGGTACGGGTCGTGGGGGACGGGCGCGAACTCGTTGGGGTCGTAGTCTACATTGCTGGCCTGTGGTGGCTGGTACCCTTCGGGTTCTGGGCGTTTGACCGCTGGGTGTTTTGTTGTTGGGGGATCGTCGGCACCTTCTGGGGAGTCGCAGCGACCTCTCGGGCCTGTTGGGCCGGAGCATCGCCGTGCCCAAGATCCCGAGCCAGCGCCGAGTTAGGGTCGTGATGAGACTCGAACATGGAGGGCTGGGGGGAGGATGAGCGGAAAGCCGGGTTGATGCTCCTTGGGAACTGCGCCACTGAGTAGTTGTCGTCCTCGGACACCTCCGACTGTGCGTCAATATCACCGCGGCAGAAGTTGATGTACTTCGGCGGGTCAGGGATCTCCTGGCCAGTCCCCTTGTCCTTGATGAAGGTGTAGATGTCCTTCTCTACCTCCATCTTCTCCAGCGACAACCGGATCTTCTCGCACGATGAATCGTCGCTCACACAAACGGTGGAGGCGATGTTGGCAAAAGTCCACAAACTGCTCTTGGAGAAATCGAGGCGCTCCTCCTCCAGGTCCTGGAATTTGTCAGCGGCCGCCTTCCATTCCCTATTCCAGCGGGCGGTCGTCTCCTCCAGGGCCTTGACAGCGGCCTCGTACTCCGTGTTGGATGTCGCCAAGCTGATCTGCGTCTTCTCGAGCTTGGCCTTGTTCTTTCTCTCTTCCTGGCCCATAACCATGTGGCCCTGGGCGAGATAGCCCTTGATTTTGAGACATTCCTGCTCATAACGGTCGCGCGTCTGGGGCTGTCAGTACCATGTCCAGCGCACATCACCTCACCCTCACGCACCTTGTTGACCTGCTGCGTCTGCTGCACCTTAGTCTTGAGCAGCTTTTCTACCGTGTTCTGCACGATCTTGCGCCGCTCCTTCATAGCGCCGGCGAAAGCGGCGAGCGGTTCTTCCAGCTCACTCTTCATCTGCGCAGCCACCTGCTGGTGCTGCTTAGCCATCAGCTCAACCTCGCCGCGCATGACATCGAGCGACGTCTTCAAGGTGCCTGTCTCTTGCGACCCCAGCGCCTTGCGCGACAGCGACATGAGCTTCCGGGCATATTCGTCCTCGATAGATGCGCGTACTATTCCGGGGTTACGGTTAGTGATGTGCCCGAGGGACTACGTCCCTAAGAACCCTCAAGGTAAGCGCAAAAGCAGGGCAAAGCTCACCGCCGTAAAAGTTGCGAAGTTCGTCACATGTCTGCTTCGCATTGTGCATGCGCTCTAGGAGGGGCGGTACACCGGCATCGTCCTTTCCCCAGAAGTTGTTGGCGACTATGACATGGTGTTAGCTCTTATTGAGTCCAATCATCTCACGCAGTCTGCCGCGCATTGATGAAGTTGTATCACTTCCTGTTGAACTCCTCCTCGATACGTACAGGAAAGGGCGACGGCCGGTGCGTCGGAGATTGTGGCCGGCATTACGCCTTACAGAGCAGGAGAGAAACGGAGCCGGGGATTGACCAAAATTGTTTGCTTCCCACGGCACAGACCAAATGGAAATGCGAAATACTGATCAAACACAGAAACCCGCCCTTCTCATAAGCGCAAAAAAGGCGAAAAGGCGTCCTGATCTTGTCTGGGGATATCGCAATCGCCAACGACAGAGAAATGCGGCTAAAGAGTGTAGGTAAAGTAATTCCAGGGTGGATTGTGGAAAGTTTCGACGTGGCACAGCGAGCTGGACATGCAGGGCAGCGAACAGGTTGTTGACCTTCCTCCTGCTGAGGATAGGGCGATCGGTTGCTAGGGGCAACACGCCTTGCCGCCAGCCTGCAGCTGGAAATGCATTGGCGCTGCACGCTGGAGACGCTTGAGACGCTGCATTGGCGCTGAAATCTGAGACCCACAAGCCAATGCAACTTCCAGTCGGGTCCGAGTCTTTTCCCAATCGATCCCACATCCAATTGCATGTGTTTGAGAATCGGATGTGTGCTGTTTTGGATGGAAAAAGGCGCCAATGCGTTGTCATCCAACTTACCTAACCAAGATCTCGAGGGAATGCCTTTTTTGCTCAATTGGATTGCATTTTGGAAACCCGTATTCCCAACCCAATCCCAATTCCTACCATAAAAGTAAAGATGGGTAAGAAGTAGTTAACTAGGTCACTCACGCAATTAATTAGAAGTCCCAGTCTCTGGCCGCTTCAACTTCAACACGTCGGTCAACTTGATCTTCCCTTTCGCACCCCAACCCGCCGTCCCGCTCTCCACATCGGGCCTCACCGCAATGTACCTGTCCAACAACGTTAGCCAACACATGTCCAATTGGAACCTGTCGGGTGTAATTCGGCAGCAGAAGGAACAGGTTCGAGCACAATGGCTGCCGCCACAGTCAGAACCGAAGAATTGACTTACTAGCTCCACGCCCGCCTGTCCAGCTCAGCCGCGCCAAGGTGGTCGGCCCAGCTGTCGAACACAATCCTCAGCGCACCAAGCAAGAGCCCCAGGTTCTCCTCCTTCTCCGCCTCCAATGCCTTTAACGTCTTGGTCTTCTTCGGGCTCTTTCTCGTAGAAGCAGCCCCCTCCCCCTGCGCCGGAGTAGCGACGGTAGCACTCCCAAAACTCCTCAGTAAATACCCCCTCGCCTGCTCCGGCCGATGAATCTGCATGCCCACGAGCCCCGTAGAGGCATGCATCTTGACACCACTCCCATATCCCCCTACCACCACACCCGTCTTCCCAGCCCTGGCAGCCTCCAGATCCAACCCCCACAGCGCCTCCCCACCAAGCGAGACCTCGGCGCCGGTCTTGCGCAGCCGCTCGCCCAGGGCGGCCGACACACAGGTGCGCATGAGGCGCCAGCGGTCCGGGCCGAGCATGGTGCCGCCGAACCAGCGGGTCAGCACGACGAGGGTGTCGGCGGTGCCCGACTCGCGCATGGTGCGCAGCATCAAGTCGCCGCACCCCGTCTCACCGTCGTCGAAGCTCTCCTCGTGCACGCGGCTGATGGCCGAGAAGGCGTCGCGCGGTGGCCGCAGCCGGTAGGCCCACGCGTTGTGCGTGGCTGTCTGGAGGTGGGGGACCTCCGCGAGCAGGGCCTGGATGAGGGGCTTGCGCTGGGACGGGTCGCTCATGTGCGTGGCGCGCGCGATGAAGGTGGAGTCTTTGAGGGTGATGGCCTGGCTGGTGGACCAGGTTGGTTTGGAGGGTGGTTTGTCGGAGCTTGGTTCGGAGGGCGTGGTTTCTTCTTCCGTTTTGAGCTGTGTCCCTGGGGCAGGGCTGCTTGATTTGACCGTGTCGGTGCCCGCCTTGTTGTCTTGTTCGCCCACCTTTTCCTCTCCCTTCCATTCGTAACCCCCCCTCTTCAGCACGGCAATCTCTCTGCCCAATACCTTTACGCGCGGCTGACCCTCACCCCATCCTTCCTCATCCGCACTCGGGCCCTTGTTCATACCCAGACTGACGGCCTTTGACCTCGAGTTTGCACTGACCACCGCCTGACCCAGACTGAGCCGGCTCGACAATGGCTGCTCAGGCATGGTATGTCGTAGGATCTCCACGGCAAACGCAAGAACCAGCGGCGCCCTGTTCGTCTCGATTACCGAATTTGAGATGCGTTCCTCGTCCATGCACAATGGCAACTCGAGTGACTTCTCTAGCTCTTCCGGTGCCAGATCCACGGCCTCGGCCATGAACGGGTTGGTCTTGGCCCGCTTGGTTTGCGGCGTAACTGAGTCTGGAGCTCCACGCTTGCTCGTGGCGGTTGGTCCGCGTTTAAGTGCCGCCTTGCAAGCATTTTGTAGTGCTCTGCCGCCCTTCTCGTCCTTGATCGCCGACTGCACTGTTTCGAGGGGAGCTTCGGCGATCTGCTTGATGCTGTGGGCGGCATGAGCCGGGGCATTTCCATAGGTACGAGGTAGACAAGCGCACATTGGCTCTCCCAAGGCTAGTCCGTCTCTCGAGCCGGTATATACCGAATGTGAGCATGAATGCTTTGCTTACCTTCTCAAGTCGACAGCCTGGAGAGCCTTGATTTGCGTCATGGCCTGCATCATCGGCGTTTTCCGTACGACCGTGACGAGCCGTAGAAGCTCCTGCAGGTCTTGCTGTGTCGCCATCTTTATGATCGATGCTTACGGGAGCCAGTTTGATGGAAAGTTGAACTTTGTGTCATTGGAAATGGAAGGTTGAACCCGGCACGTCGGAGACGAACCACGGCATCCTTGCTCGTGTTAGATAGTTACCTAGGCAGGAGTGAGTTGAAATGAGCTTATGTAATCCTAATGAAAGACCAAGATTGGCCCAAAAGATCCTTGCTCAAACTGAGCCTTGAATTTCAACGCCGACTCACTCGGGAAGATACAAGTCCCATACCAAGTACATATCACGCTAACAAAGTTTGGTCCAATTTACGGAAGTGACGCCAGGATGAGGAGGTGACAACTTCAGACAACCTTTAAAAACAGAACCCACATAACGGCCACTATGGCCTCCCGCTTTCGATTACCACGGCAGCTCACAGCTCACCTTCGCTGCCCTCGCATCTGCTCATACTCGAACTCATACTTTAACTCATACTCCAACTCATACTCCCGAAACTTCACCCTCTCAGCCACCCTACAAACTCTTAAACAGGAACAGCCTCCACGCCCATTTTCACGTTCCACCAAAATCCCCAACGAACCTCAACCCCTCGATTACCTAGTCAAGGAATTGAAGTGGCCCCTCTTCGGCGCCGGCATCTCAGCTCTCGCAATAGGCCTCTACATCTCCCTCGTCATCACCAGCTCGCTCAAAGACAAATCCGACGACTCCCCCCACCCCCACTTCCCCCCCTCCGACTCCCCCTCAGAATTCGATGACG